ACCCAGAGAGCCTCAGGCCTGTCAAAGATGTGACAGGTCTGGGCTTTCCCCAGCCAGGAGAGAGGTTCAGAGAGAGAGTGAGTGTGTGTGTGTGTGTGTGCGCATGCATGTGTGATTGAGCCACTGAGGGAGTATGTGTGTGTGTGTGTGTGTGTGTGTGTGTGGTTCATTGAGCCACTGAGGGAGTGTGTGGTGTGCGTGTATGTGTGTGGGGGGGTTATTGAGCCTGGGTGTGTGTGTGTGTGTGGGGGGGTCAGAGGTTCATGGAGATGCTAGGTGGATGGGTGGGGGGGTGTATATTGGGGGAGGTTCATTGACCCCCTCTGGGGGTGTTGTTGTGTGCATGGGGGGGGTGGATGTTCACTGAGTACTGGGCGGGTGTGTGTGTGTGTGGAGGGGGCTGTAGATTGAGCCACTGGGGAGTGGGGTGTTGGGGGAGATAGATTGATGGAGCCCCTGGGGGAGAGGCAGTGTGTTTTTTTTTTTTTTTTTTTTTTTTTTTGTGCATTTGGGGGGAGGTTCACTGAGCCTCTCCCTTCGTTTGTGCGGCCACAATGAGACCTGAACACCCCCCCAATGTGGAGCGGAGAGTGGGGTTGAGAAGTCTTTGTTATTAAGCAAAAGCTGCTTCCTGGTTGATTGAGTTAAAATCCTCCAGCCTGCGCTGTTGGCAGTAATTGTGTCATTTCTAAAGAAATGCCACCTGCTTGGGATGAATAGCTCTTCCATGTCTCTGGAATGAGTTGGGAGTGCTCCATGGCACCACCTAAGTCCTTTACACCAACTTGTTTTTTTAGGCCCCATTGCAGAGCCTTCCATCAAATCCTGCCCCCCACCCCCTCCTGCAAGGAATACTGTGGGTGTTTGGAAAGTCTCTAGCACTGAGCTTGTTAGGCTCAGGGCACCCCTTCATAGGTCAGAGCCCCCCCTCAGAAAATGACAGCTTAGTTTCACTTGTTCTTTGACTCTGGAACATTTAAGAGAGCAGCTTTTCTGTTGCAAAGAACTTAGCCTGCAACGGGTCAAAATGTTTCTAACACTGGATTCCCGTCTGAAATCTCTGGGTTTATTTTGGGACTTGTGTTTGCACACCGAGTAGTGCTAATGTTGCGTGGCATCCTGCAGCACCCTTGAAAATTTCTTGAGACATCCCGGGGTGCATGAGCATCCTGGTTGAGAAGACATTGAGCTAGTTGTAACCAAAAAGATATATATATATTTTTTTTAAAAGCATTAAAAAAGTTATGAGATGGCCCTGTGATGTGCAATGTTGTAAGAATCGGAGAACTCATCTCAGCTCACAACTCAGCCTCTTGTGGGCTAAGATCAAGTGTAACTTGCTGCACTGGTCTGCTACCCAAGCTGAGTTGGATTTAAAATGGCACTGTGTAGTGGAGGGTTCACCCTGATCCAAATGCGGACAGGACTCCCTACGAGAGCCTCATAATTAGCTTCCCTCTGGCCAGCTTCCAGCGGGAGGATCTTGGCTACGCACCAACTTTATGGGAATGGGCGACTCCTCCCTAGCTTGCTCCTGTGGCCACTGGCTGAGGGCAAGTGAAATTTGGGGGCATTTAAACTGCATGTAGGATGCCTGCCAAGGATTTGGACGTATCTGAAGCCTGGGGTGGAGCTTACTTGCCGGTAGTAGGGCCACATATGGTTTTTGAACAATTGAAAGGATTCCGAACTGATCTGGTTAATTTGACTTGTAACACAAAAAAAATTTCAAGAAAAAAAAATAAAAATCTCGGGTCACAACAGATGAAAGACGCACCACTTTAGCAGAATAGGCGTTTCTGTGGCACCTTGGTTGAAAATCGCTCTGTTGTGCATGTCATAAATAAGAAATGACATCTCTGCTGGCTTAGTATCTGAGTAATTAATAATTTTACCCTTACTTTTCCACCCCCCTCCTTAAGTCACCTTCCCCACTTTGTCACTTCCCTTATTACAGATCTCTCAGGAAAGCTGAAATCTCTTCATTTCAGAATGCTGGGGCAATTGGAGATCTGGTCTTATTGTGACATGTGTGGGGATGGGGGTGAAGGTTTTTCTATGGGAGAAAAAACATCCTTGGATATATTTTTGTTTTAGTCATCTTGCTCTTGTAAGTATCTAGTACTGGACTTGTGGGTTTGGAGTTCAGGATTCTGGTATGGTAGGGTATATAAGAAAATGCTTTTTGTATGATTGTACATGCTAAAGCAATAACTTGGTTAGTTGAAAGCAAATTGTTTTAGGAGGATTTAAAGTGTCTATTTTGAATTGGCCCTGGAAGCCAGACATTTGATATGTGGGCCAATTGCACAATTATAATAAAAAAAATTGCAAGAGTCGACTCCCCCTTTCTCAGCTAATGTATTGAAATGTGCCTGGGAATTTTTCCAAGATCTTTAGTTATACGTAAGAAAGAGCACATAACTGTCTTATTGTGAGATAACAGTACCCTGGCCCTGATTGCTTTTATTAGTTACTTCATAACAACTTCATGCCCTCTAGGATGTTTAAAACCTAAATAACTTCCAAGTGCAGCATATTTATTTTTCAGTAATAATGTAGGTTTATTTTTAAAATTGAGGATGTATTTGCTTGTTAAAATGAAGCATATGAAAATCCCAGGATGCTAATGCTTATATGTTTGGCTAGAAAAGGAATTTTCAGATGCTAGCCTACTATCAGAACAAGGTGATGTGGTGGTGTATGTTGTAGTGATCCTTATTCTGACTAAAGCAGCCCTTGTCTTGCAATCCAATCCTGGCTATGTGAACCCCAGAGCTCTTCTGAAGTCTTCTTATTCACTCTTCATATCTGCAGGTCTGGCTGCTTATTTAAGTCTAAAGAGAGAAGCTACTGGCTTGTGCAGAGTGGGGAATAAACTACTTGGGTCATCTGAATCTGGTCCATTAAACTGGTCCGCTCCATTGACTTAAATGCAGTTGCTTCTGGAGCTAGTTCAGGTTTTTCTAATGTACTCTTTTCTTTTCATTTTAGTAACTGATTTTTTTTTAGCAACACAATTGTATGATTATGCAGCTATACAAGTAATGTATTTACTACAGTTGTAACAATGAAGAAACAATCTCTGTGGTTTCTCTTTGGTTCAGACTGAGACCGCTCAGTTCTAGTTTTGACTAACTAAAACTTTTTTTTCAATTTACATTTACATGCAAGTTTCTTACCAGGTTCCCAGGTTGCTGGTTGTGGCTTTAGCCAGGGCTCCTTTAATAGTTTTGTACAATGTTAATGTAAAATGACCACAAAGAGAAACAAACATAAAAGCAAAGATCCAAATTTAGTTTTTAATTTTACAGAGCTGTAAATATACACAGGGTATGTAGATTTGGTGGAAGAACTGTGAACTGGCCTTCATATTTGCCCCAACCATTGAAATGGCCGTAACCTTCAACAACCAATGATACTGAGCCCTGCATCCTGCGCACTTTATAATGACTCATGTTGCCTTAGAAAGTCTGTGTTTCACTTGGAGCTGTAGCAAATAGTAGGCTAGAGCTTAAATACACTTAATTGCATTTTACAGCCCAAACTGTACAGATCTGTGATTGAAGATGTGATCGAAGGTGTTCGGGATCTCTTTGCAGAAGAAGGTGTTGAGGAACAGGTTCTAAAAGACTTGAAGCAGGTTTGTTGGATGATGGTGGCTTTTTTTACTTTATTCCAAATGCTTTTATTCCTCTGAACACTCTGTCTCTCTCTCCTTGAATAATTCTGTCTTAATAATTACTTTCTCACAGCTTTGGGAAACCAAGGTGATGCAGTCTAAAGCAACAGAAGGCTTTTTCAGACATCATTCACCCCAGTTTACCCTACAGTTGCCACCTGGCTTCCATCGCACACTGCAGACATCAACAGGTTGGATCTTGTTTGTGAGGAGAAAACAGATAATTTTAAGTTCTGTGTTTTCAGTTGAAATATGGATGCTAAGCTAACTTTGGCTCTAATGCTGCTATAAATCTAGTTACAGGCTATACCATGGTACTATTCTTTAGTTTAGAAACGTGATGCATCATCTTACAAATTGTACTTATAAAAATGTGGATAAATCTTTTAATTTGTGAGTGTGGGGGGCGTGTTTTAATTCTTCCAGTGTTGAATAACTCAATTTAAAAGAGGTGCTTCATATATAACAAAGTTGCTGTTAGTTGGGCAAGGTCTTTGCCCTGTACTGGCAGTGCAAAGGGGATGTAAGGTGCCTTCAAGAGCACCTGAGGAGTCTCCCAATATGAAGGAGTAGAGAAGAAGGGCAGGAGTCGGAAGTAGTATTCCATCATGTCATTAAAGTCAATGCACAGGGGGTCAGAACAGGAAATCATGACTTTTCCATTTTAATGTTCTTTTAGTGTAATGTTTTTGGCTATAATTGTAAATATAGAAAGGTATAGATGTTGTTTTTATCCCTTTGGTTAAAGGGAATAGACTTGTAGACTGCTCACTGTTGGAGGCTTCATTTTTAATGAGCCTGGTTGTGTTACTCCCAATTGCTTTTGTAGGATTAGGCAATACCTATGGTGGTATAGGGTCTGTTACAAGTAACAGGAGTTCTTAAAGGGAGAAAAATAAATAGGTACTCTGATTGGGATTTTCAAAAGTAGTCAGATAGTTTTGCTAATTCTGCTCTCAAAGTCAGTGAGTTTTGTCATTGACTTCTTTGGGAGTGGTTAAGGCAATGCTGAGTGCTTTTGAAAATCCCATCCTACAGCTTCTGCTGTTAGCACCCTTGGAGTTGCACTGGTGCAGAAAATTGCTCACAAATGTTCCTGATGTTGACAAGGCAGTACGCTTGAGATATATGTTCTCAGCTTTGTTTAAAATGGTAGCATTGCACATCTGTCCCTGTAGGTGGTGTAATAAATAGAAATGCCAAATTTAATTTCTGTAGTGCATCTCACTTTGAAAAAAACTCTTCAATCTGCTTAACACAACAAGGTCTTGTGAAACACAGTAGTTGGTAAAATATAGTTATAAATATTCCAGATTTATGCATTTGCAAAGTACAACATAGACTTGCTGAGACGCTAAATAAAGGAAAGTGCATTCAACAATGTTATCTTTTTTTCTTTTTTTAACCTAAGGAACGCATTTGTCTGCTACAAGCTATGAAGAACCCCTCTCAATTTTGGGGGAAGTGTATGTTAGTAGAAACT